ATGTATTCATGCATCCATCCATCTGTCTTGCCTCACGCCTTTCACTGAATACCTGCTGTGTCCCAGATTCATAGGTCAAAGCCCTAATCCCCAAAGGGATGGTATTTGGAGTTGGGAGTCTAAGGAAGGTCACTGGGGCTAGATGAGGTCATGAGGGTGGGGTCCTCACAATGGGAGTAAGTGTCCTTATAAGAGGAGACATGAGACAAACAAGCTCTGGGATCTAATGTACAGCTCGGTGACTATCCTACATAATAAAAGCCTAATATGTTAAGTGTCTGTTCAACCAATTGTCTGTTCAGAACCAGTCGTCTGTTCAACCAATCAAAGCATAATATGCTAATGATATGCTAAGGCAACTCAACCGCTCGCTATGACGTGCACTGACCACCAGGGGGCAGTTGATCGGTAGACCAGTCACTATGATGTGCACTGACTACCACCGTGTAGGTGTTCCAACTGGTAGGGTAGCTTGCTGCTGGGGTCCAGCTGATCTGTACTGAGTGAGACAGGCTGGACATGCCCTGGAGCCCTCCCGTGGTCCCTTTCTGACTGGCCAACCTCCCGCATCCCTCCCCGGCCCCCATCATGCACCGGTGGGGTCCCTCGGCCTGACTTGCGCCCTATCGCAATCTGGGACCCCTCAGGGGATGTTGGAGAACTGATTTTGGCCCGATCCTGCTCAACGCAGGAGCTACCCTCTGGTAGTCAGTGTGCTCCCACAACGGGTTGCTGCTCAGCCTGAAGCCGGGCTCACGGCTGGTGAGTGCAGTGGCAGTGGCAGGAGCCTCTTTTGCCTCTGCAGCAGCACTAAGGATGTCCGACTGATGGCTTAGGCCCACTCCCCGTGGGAAGTAGGCCTAAGCCGTCAGTCGGACAGCCCCCCCCAAGGGCTCCCAGACTGCAAGAGGGTGCAGGCCAGGCTGAAGGACCTCCCCCCCTAAGTGCACAAATTTTGTGCACTGGGCCTCTAGTAGCTAATACTATTGTATACTTGAGAGCTGCTATGAGAGTAGATCTTAAATGTTATTACCACATAAGAAAAGATAACTATATGACACAATGGAGGTGTTAGCTAACTCCATTCATTATGCAACATCTGTGAGAAAAACAAGAAGAGACACCAAAGAGAGGGCCTCCCTCTGCCATGTGCGGACACCGCGAGAAGGCTCTCCGCACGCAGGGAGAGGTCCCACCAGGCTCTGACCCTGCCAGCGCCCTGACATCAGACTTGCAGACTCCAGACTGTGAGAAGATAGCTCTGTTGTTCAAGGGCACCCAGTCTGTGGTCTAATTAGTACAGCAGCCCGAGCCGACCAGGACAACCCCACCGGCAAGCAGGACAAATGGGACTTGCATTTCCTGGAGCAAAGACAAGTGGCTAGCCCAGCAGAGGTCTTTGCTGACATGCGTGAATATGCGTCTGAGTTTTGTCAGCTTTCAAAAAGCATCAAAAAGATAACCCATAGCTTTTATCTAGTTAGCAAGCTATTTTAGAAGAAATCTGCTCACATATGAGCTTGGCCCGCATCTTCCACGGAAGAGCCTGACGCTCCCGTGGTCCCAGTGTTTGTGCCACCAAT